ATCTCACTGAGTCTTAGTTTCCTCACCTTCACGATGCCAAGAATAATAGTACCTCTGTTACAGATTATTCTGAGTAACAGTAAAGAGATAATTCATGTAAATAACTTAGCATGATGAACACTCAATACATTTTGGTTATTGTTATTTGTACCACTACTGCCTCTTACCCATTCTAGGTTCCATGTGTTAACTGCTCCATGTGCCTTAGCTTTACAACAGCTCTGTGAGACAGGCATGGGACCCTCCTCGTTTACACAAGAGAAACAGGCTCAGAGGGGTTGAAGCTCTTGCCTGAGTTGAACCCAAGTCTGTCTAGCTCCTTGCTTTCTACCCCTCCTTGCTTTCTACCCCTAGGACAATTATACTTTTTGTGGCCATGTGACAATGATGCTGATTATCAGGGATGGTGATGTCAGTGCAGCTGTAGGTGTTGCCCACTGAGTAAGCAGCAGAACCTGGACTCCACCCGGGTCTGTGTGACTGCAGAGGCCAAAGCGCCCTGACCACTCTGCTGACCACAGCTTAAGGAGAAAGAGGAGCTTGGTATTTATGGATCTGCTAATTCCACTTACAGGAAGCTTGAAATTGAGAATACTTGGAAGAGTATCTAGAGTTGCATTTTTATTTTACAGTTTTATTCCTCAGTAGCTTCCAGAAGGCTTATGGCCTTCCCATTAACTTTTTTTTTTTTTTTAACTATTATTTAGTTTTGGGAGAGAGAGAGCGCGCGCACACGCGCGTGCACGAGCAGGGGAGGGACAGAGATGAGAGGGACAGAGGATCTGAAGCAGGCTCTGCACTGACAACAGTGAGCCCAGTGTGGGGCTTGAACTGACAGACTGTGAGATCTTGATCTCAGCCGCAGTCAGACACTCAACTGATTGAGCCACCCAAGTGCCCCAGAATTCCTGAAAACTTTTATTTCTAAGGCGTTCCTAATGAAGTCAGAATTCATTTGTATGTGGATGGAATTAACGGACCATTTGGGACCCAGAATAAATCCCTGCCCCCTTGTGTATTAATTTGGAAAGTCTCAGTGATATGACTGGATTGTTGTGGCCACATGGTAGAGTTCCATAAATCCATCATTCACAGATGATAGGAACTCATCCTTCCATCATTCAGCAGAGCCATTTGTATACTAATTCTTCTCAACAGAACAAAGGACACTTCATTGGATTTTCTTGAAATTATCTCTTCCACACGAAATAGGATTTGAATAACAACACAACTGTGGAAAAATTCAGATTCACAACAGAATTCCAAACTGAGCTTTTGGCACAGAGATAAACTCTTGGCCTGGCTAGAAGGTGGCCAGACCGTAAGCAGGCTTGAAACAGCTTGCATTTGTTCAAGTTTCGGAGTTAAATGAATACCAGTATTTTGGGGAATGATTTCCCAGACTCCCTAATGTTAAGTTTGTAGCATTTGCACTGGCGTGGTTGTGTGGTCACGTGGTCTTGTTTGCAGAAGTGTCCTTGCGCTTCAGAAACACGTAATCACAGCGGCCATAGGCTTGTGTCTGGCACTTTGCATGTTGGGGAGTAAGAACAGCCCAATCAGAACTCATCAGCAGCCTGGGCCTGGCTCACGTTGAGGCCCAGAGAGCTGGCCTTCGGGACTCTAGTTCTCCCCCAAACTGGTTCTGGTTTGCTCAGACAACTTTCGTTTGAAAGAAAGCTACCCATGTGCAAGAATGAAATGCTCTCCTGTGTCCCCACGTCTCTTCCTGCTTGGTTGTGTGTCAGCATTGCTTTAGAAGCCATTGTTCATGCATCTGCCGAAATCCACGGCCTTTCCTTACAACATAGTCTTCTTTGTTTCTCCAGCATCTCCCACAGTTTTTAGGAAAGAGTACAGCCTCACCATTTTGGTGACAGTTGAAACTAAAATGTGTATACATGATCTCTGTGCCCATCTTGTTGCACAAGGAGTTCCAGAACTTTGAGGCTAGATGTAAGGGGGCAGAGGTCTCTCTCAAAGTCTGAATTCATTTTTAGATGTTTTCAGCTCTAGGAATGGCCTAGAGTGCTGTCCTCGAGGCCAGAGGCAGAGGGGTGCTGAGAGGCACCCTGACTTGTCGAAATCCGTGCTCGAGGCTCTAGGGCATTGCTTCTGTAGTGAAGAGTGGCTAGAAATCTGAGCTAAAAGAGCATTGATGGCCGAGGAAGTGGAGAGCACAGATGGGAGAAGCCACAGCCCTAGATTTCAGTTCCCACCCCTCTCTTGCTCGGCTGTGCAGCCAGTCAGAAAGTCTCCCCCATGCCATGCTCACCCTACTTTATATGTTGAGTTGGCCCAAGGCGAAGAGAGAGGTCACGTGAAGTACCTAATACAGCACCTGTCAGGCAGGCAGGTACAGATGATCACATACAGGAGCAAGGTTTAAATGTCTGTGGTATTGGTGTGCCGTGAGGTGGTCACCTGGGAGCAGCCTCATGGCTCAGTTGTTTGGGGAACACAAGAAAGGGGAGAAAGCCTCTCAGAGACTGTGGTCCTTGAGCTCATCAAGAACAATCATTTCTTTTTGCTTCTCTCGCACATACCCTGAAGGAGGCTTGTACATATGCATAGCACTGGGACTTATTTTTAGGGGTGCCAATTCCTCTGGAAGCCAGGACGTTTCTGTTGTTTTTGCTTGAAGTGCCCTTCTCTTCTTACCCCCTCGCCCCACTTGAACCCGGCTCTGTTGTGATTCAGTTTATTTTGTTGAAAATTCAGGCCCCTCGGGAAAATATGATAATACTGTTCTCAGACAGCTGTGTTTGGGGGCGAGACTGACTTAACCAGCTGGCTCACATCATTGGAGCCCTAGGACTTGCCAGCCCACGGAGAACAGCTGTTTTGGCTAAAATTCTCATCATTCTTATGACTTTGCTTTCTATATATCAGCTTCAGGGTTCCACTTTTAAATGCATGCACAAAAAAGAGAGGGCCGTTAGTCTGTGGTGTGTCTAATGACATCCACAGTTGAAGGAAGTAGGGTGCCTCTGCCTTCCTCTTGTTACTCATGGTTGTTGAGAATGAGGAAATCGAGGAGGCGAGCTCCAGAGTGAGAGATGATAATGAGTGGATCAATACATATTGAAAGCTTAATTCAGTGTGGTTGTTATATAACCATTGAGAATAACATTAAGTTTTTTTTTTTAATTTTTTTTAAGGTTTTTTTTAAATTTATTTCTAGAGAGAGAGAGTGAGCAGGGGAGGGTCAGAGAGAGAGGGAGTCACAGACTGAAACAGGCTCCAGGCTCTGAGCTGGCAGTCAGCACAGAGCCCGACGCGGGGCTCGAACCCACGAACCGTGAGATCATGACCTAAGCGAAAGTCGGACGCTTAACCGACTAAGCCACCCAGGCGCCCCACATTAAGTATTTTTTTAAACGTGTATTTATTTTTGAGACAGAGAAAGTGGGAGCAGGGGATGGGCAGAGAGAGGGAGACACAGAATCAGAAGCCGGCTCCAGGCTCTGAGCTTTCAGCACAGAGCCCTGTTTGGGGCTCGAACCCATGAACCGTGAGATCATGACCTGAGCCAAAGTCAGATGCTTACCTGACTGAACTACCCAGGGGCCCCAAAATATTTTTTAAAGAAGGGAGGAGTGTGGGAATATAATGATGGTAGATGTATAGGATACAAAACTATGTAGATTATATAATCCCAGTTAGGGAAGATGTTTTTGTGACAATAAATGAGATAATCCCCCAAAGCACTTAACCTGGCACGGCACATGGTCAGTAAACAGCAGCTACAAGATGCAAACTCTCCAACCATGGGGAACACATTGACCTCATGCAGTGTTAGACCCAGAGTCCTCAGTATGAAGTAAGTGCTCAAAAGATCTTTCTTGATTGAATGAATTCATGTTCCTATTTTTATGTGCATTTGAAAAGAAAGCTAGAAAAATCTGGGGAGACGGCTTTCTGGGTTACCTGTAAGTTATATCCATAATTGTGGCAGCTTAACCTCTCTGCCTGGGGTCTTCATTGTAAATGGTGAGGGCAGTTCCTCTTGATCCAAATCATTGAGAACTGAAGGAGCCACATGCAAAACACATGCAGTGAGTAATCCCTAGGGAACTGACATTGCATGGTGGCCATGTTAATCATGGTTAAGCACCCGAGAAGTGTAGCTGTTACCCTAATAACCCTCCCATACCTACATCTGGAAAAAGAAAAACAATTGTATTGATATTTGTCTATTGTTTTCTTCTTATTTTTTACCCAGGCCTTTTTTTTTTTTTTTTAAATGAAAGCTGAAAAAGAAAAGGTTCGTAAGAAAGCTCAAATGCTTATAGCAGTTATCTCTAAGTAGTAGAATTGGGAAAGTTTTTCTCTTTTATTTTCTTGACACTTTACTACATTTTCCAAGTTATCTGTAGTACTGGTTACTTTCATTGTCAACCTCACCCCCCACCCTGCCTTTTAAATTAGAAAACACTCAGCATTAGAGAGAACGCTGAGCTGCTGAACTAGAAAGCAGGCTCCATCTAAGGGTGGCTGAGGACCCGCAACTGGTGCCCTGCTCTGGCCGCCTTCTTGGAATGTTATTTAAATACGTGGTTCACATTCTAAGAAAGTTGGGAAGCAGTCATTAAGAACCAGTGAGGAAAAGTAAAGGGGTTTTGATTAATTGGTTCTGGACAAAAGGTCATCTGAAAACTCAAAGCCCTGGTCACAGACCATGGCTTGTATTTAGCACAGTGGTTCCCATGTGTCCTGGAGAGGACACTGAGAGAAGATCAGAGCAAGAGACAGCGGAAGGAGTTAGAAATGGAAGGGAATAGTCCCCAAACTCTGGGACATGCTTCTGAAAGAAAATGTTGAATGTCAGTTCTGAGAGCTGTTTCAAGTGAAGTCCTGAGCAAATGCTGGTGGTCTTTTTGGGTCTTTTTCTTGCTGATTCTTTGATAGCACCAACTTTTCAGTTGTGCTAGTCGGGGCCTGTGCTTGCTCCCCCATTCAAAGTAGCGTGTAACCGTTTTGTGAAACTTTACTTGCAGATATTTAACACCGTGCCTGATACGCCTCTCACCAATGCCCAGCTGCACCTGTCCCGGAAGAAGAGCAGTGACTCCAAGCCCCCTTCCTGCAGCGAGAGACCCCTGACGCTCTTCCATGCCATGCAGTCAGCAGAAAAACGTGAGTCCCCCACTTGGGGCCAGCAAGGTGCTCACAGATGTCCTGGGCCACCTCCCACATGCTCAGAGTGCACACCTCCGGCCTCCCTCTTTGCCTGCCCTGTGCGTCCTTGAGGATGTTGTGTGGCTGTGCCCTCGCAGGTGTCATTGCCGAGGGAGCCTAGTAGGACAGGAAGCGGTGTTAGCAGAATGAAAGGCAAGGGCCACTTGCTGATCAGGAGTGTCTTTCCAGATCTCCAGGCAAGCAGCTGAATGTTGTTGCTTCCTGTTCACAGCAAGAGCTCTGCTCTGACATCACTGCCTTGGCCCCTTTTTTTGTTTGAGGCTCCCACCAAACCAGTATCCTTTTCTCAGTTTGTAATTAAATGCTTATTAGTGCAAGTCACCTGCCCCGCTAGACGGTGGCTCTGAGGGCTGGCCCTGGCTTTGCTGCTCTTCCCGCTCCAACTCACTGGGCCTGGCATGGAGCGGACACTTAATCACTGTGTGACCTTAGTCACTGAATTAATTAGAGAATGATGCCCTCTTTGATCCAAGCTGCAGAACATTATCCCCTCAGTTTTACCGAGTCCTCTTTTCATGTCAGAATGGAGTTCTTTGCCATCATCAGGTGACTGGGCCCTAAAATACTCAGGCTTGTTAAGCTTCTGTAATAAGACAGCTGACTGGTGTTGAGGGCTCAAGCTCCGCCTAGAGTCCCCTGAGACCTGTGCCAGCAGCAACACACAGACAAGCCTTTGACCTTCTTGCAGCCTCCGTTTGCTCATCTGTATAGTAGGGATGGTAGTGCCTGTCATAAATGGGTTTGTTAAGGAGTAAATAAAGTTTTGCATTTAAACCTTTGGCACAAGTCCTAGGCTTGGCAAGGGCTGAGAGCTGCCGCTGTTATAACCAGTTATTGTTTAATCACATGCAAATGCCAAGGCTAGTCCTTCCACGCAGCTGACACTTACATGGGGCCTGCACGGGACTGGGAATATACAAATAGGACCTCCTCGTCTTAAATGTGCTCACAAGTGATTGAGGAGAATAGACATGTGAATGGATCACGGTAGGTCACTGCAGTAAGCGCCCGCAGAGAGAGACATCCATTCACAAAGGCCGAGAACATGCACTGGCACTGGACTGCTGGGCTGCTAGCTCTGTGTCTGCCGCTTTCTGGCTGTGTGTGATGTGGGCAAGTTACCCAGCATCTCAGGGCCTCCGGCTTCTCTTCTGGAAGACTGGGATAACAGCTTCTCCCTCATAGGGTTATTGTGCAGATCAAAGGACTTCACATGATACCTGGTGCACAAGACGTGCATTTCCGGGGGGGTTGGGGGGTGGGAGGGGAGTAATGTTGTTGTTGTTATTATTTTTTAATTTTTACTTATTTTTTAGAGAAAGGCAGAGCATGAGCAGGGGAGGGACAGACAGAGAGGGAGACACAGATTCTGAAGCAGGCTTCAGTCTCCCAGCTGTTAGCACAGAGCCTGACGCAGGGCTCAGACTCACAAACCGTGAGATTATGACCTGAACTGAAGTCGGACCCTCAATCAAATGAACCACCCAGGTGCCCTTGTGTTGTTATTATTATTAACCTTTATAAAGCAGTAAAGGCACAGATCAGAAGAATGAACCACTTGGCCTTAAAGAGGAGAATGAGTCCATATCTGAAACGGCATCTTTTTCTTTGTTACGAAAAAGCGTTTCTTACCCCTGTATTTCAGAAGGTATCATTTTGAAAGCAAATCTTCGCCACCCCCAAAGCATCACTGCATTTAAAGATGTCATACTATCCCATAAGATAGACAGGGCTCCTTGGTGAGTTGAGCACCATTTGGGTTGTTTCAGATATTTAGCTTTTATGAGTAGAACTACTATTAATCTTTGAAGGTAAATCTATTCATATATACATGATCATTTCCTTAAGATAAATCCCTGAAAGAATTTCTCGGTCAAAGGATATGCGCAGTTTTGGGGTTCTTGCCCCTATGGGGTTAAGATCTCTTCAGATGACAGCCTCTGTCGCTCTTATCTGGCTTCAGTCTTTCTCACTTGGGTCTGCACATGGCCTGGGCTCCTCTAAGTGTAGCAGGGACCACTCAGAACAGGACTGGTCTCACCCCTACCTGCCATGACAGGGCATTAGGCTGTGGGGGGATGTGTTTCCCACGTTTCAGCAGAGCCACGGTCCCCTCGTGTTTAGCACTAAGCATTCAACAGTGTAGGTTAGGACCGAAGCAGAGGCAGCTTTGGAACTGGTCTAAAAACATACTCAGAGAGCATGTAAGGAAGAAGATGGAGATGAGGAGAAAATCAATTAGATCCTGACGCAAGATTAATTTTATCACACGAGGCAGAGGATGAAAGTTAAGGATGTGTGAAAACAGGTGCAGCGAAACCACAGAACGAGCTGCCGCGTCCCTGGCTGCACCGTGGATGGAAGGGTGGAAGGCGGGAAGACAGTGCAGCAGCGTATCTTTCCTCTGAATGTTAGGAAAGGCGCCCTGGAAATGGGACTGGAACCTCCAGACGCTCGGTATTTGAGGGGTGCTTAGCTTTCCTCCCTGTCTCAGAGAAGGAGCATTTTCATTGAAGAGGATGTGGGTGTGCATATATTCATAGACTTTTTATAGTTTGTTTTGGAACTCGCTTTTTTCTTGAGAGACTAGAATGACACCCAAACTCGCTTGGAAAGCATCGTAGGAGGGGTTGAGTGAGCTGATGCTGGAAGGGAAGACTGGCCAGGAGCTGGAAGGTTCTGTGAGCACCTCTCACTGTTAGAGGAGCAGGTGACAGGGCACCATCATGCTTGCACACATCTGACCCTTCCCTCTGTCTATTTGTGGATAAAGACAGAAGGCTGCTTTATCAAAGTACTTGGCTGAATTTACTCCATAGAATTAACTCCGTACAAGTAATTACCACAGGTAATTGGTGGGAGAGAAATTTTTATATTTCCGTATGATGATGTTTTTCAGTTTCAGGGAACTTGTGCTACTTAGTTACTTCCCAAACTTGAATCATTTGCATAGACCTTCATTCAGTCTTTGGCCTTCAACCACATAATCCATAACTGTTGTTTGAATACATTTCTTTAAATTGATCTTAAAGCTGCTCACATCTTACGTGGCTTCATCCTACTTAGTAAAACCTCTCAAAACAAGAATCTGATGATCTCACTATTTTACTTCCTAATATACATTAAACATGTAACCATTAAGATAAAGAATGTTACAGGAGGGGGGCAAGATGGCGGAGAAGTAAGGAGCTCCGTACTTGCACTCGCGCCCATACATCACACGGAAAAGATCTGAAGCCATTGGAAACCTTACAAAACCTGAGAGATTGGGAGAAAAAGGACGCAGAATCCACTGAGAGAGATTTCTAACGTGAGTGCGAACTGGGGAAGATAAAATCGGGTGGGGATCGGAGACTCCAGGGTGGGAGGCGATCCCCCTCTACCCTCTACGGGGAGTGAGAGGGGAAAAGGAGAGAGTCCGAAACAGAAAAACCTCCGCTCGGTGCATAGAAAGACCGTACTTGCCAAATACCTGCACACCAGGTCCCCTCCGGCCAACTGGCCCTGGGGGGGAGCTGAGCACACAAACTGCTTCTTTGTGCTGACTCCTGGCGGCTGGACTTCAGAGCAGCGGCGCGCCTGCTGCCATTGTAGCTCCCGGGCAGCTGGGGCCCCTGAAAGAGCCGCGCGGACACCGGGCGTCCGCGCTCCTGGCTGGCTGGAACTCGAGAGGGAAGGCAAAG